GAACGATCTGCCACACTGAAGCATGGTTGTGCTTTGATTATAAAGCTCAAACACGCTCCTGCATGTTTGTGCTTTGATTATATGTCAGAACGGCCTGCCAAACAGGAGCACGTGCTTTGGTTATATGTTAGAACGATCTGCCACACTGAAGCATGGTTGTGCTTTGATTATATGTCAGAACGGCCTGCCACATTGGAGCCGGGCTGTGCTTTGATTATATGTCAGAACGGTCTGCCATACCAGATCGTGGTTGTGCTTTGATTATATGTCAGAACGGCCTGCCGAACAGGAGCTCGTGCTTTGGTTAAATGTTAGAACGATCTGCCACACTGAAGCATGGTTGTGCTTTGATTATATGTCAGAACGGCCTGCCACATTGGAGCCGGGCTGTGCTTTGATTATATGTCAGAATGATCAGCCATACAGGTGCGTGGTTGTACTTTGATTAAATGTCAGAACGGTCTGCCACACGGGAGCGTGTTTGTGCTTTAATTATAAGTCAGAACGGCCTGCTAGAAAATCAGAGCTGTTTTGTAATTATGTTAGAATGACTAAATAATAAAAAATACATGATTTGATTATAAGTCAGAATGGTTTGCCATACAGGAGCATGGTTATAATTTGATTATATGTCAGAACGACCAGCCATACTCCTGTATGGCGTTGTTGTGCTTTGATTAAATGTCAGAACGGCCTGCCACATTGGAGCCTGGCTGAGCTTTGATTATATGTCAGAACGATCAGCCATACCGGAGCGTGGTTGTACTTTGATTTTATATGTCAGAACGGTCTGCCATACTGGAGCGCGTTTGTGCTTTGATTATATGTTAGAACGGTCTGCCATACCGGAGCGTGGTTGTGCTTTGATTATATGTCAGAACGGTCTGCCATACGGGCGCGTGTTTGTGCTTTCATTATATGTAAGAATGGCCTGCCAAACAGGAGCGCGTTTGTGCTTTGATTATATGTTCGAACAATCTGCCACATTGGAGACTGGTTGTGCTTTGATTATATGTCAGAACGATCAGCCATACCGGAGCATGGTTGTACTTTGATTATATGTCAGAACGGTCTGCAATACCGGAGCGTGTTTGTGCTTTGATTATATGTCAGAACGGCCTGCTAGAAAATCCGAGCTGTGTTTTAATTATGTTAGAATGACTGAATAATAAAAAAATACATGATTTGATTATAAGTCAGAATGATTTGCCATACAGGAGCGTGGTTGTACTTTGATTATATGTCAGAACGACCAGCCATACCGGAGCGTGGTTGTGCTTTGATTATATGTCAGAACGGTCTGCCATACAGGTGCGTGTTTGTGCTTTGATTATATGTCAGAAAGATCAGGTATACCGGAGCGTGGTTGTACTTTGATTATAAGTCAGAATGGTTTGCCATACAGGAGCGTGGTTGTACTTTGATTATATGTCAGAACGGCCTGCTAGAAAATCAGAGCTGTGTTTTAATTATGTTAGAATGACTAAATAATAAAAACGACATGATTTGATTATAAGTCAGAATGGTTTGCCATACTCCTGTATAAAGCGTGGTTGTACTTTGATTATATGTCAGAACGTTCTGCCACATTGGAGCCTGGCTGTGCTTTGATTATATGTCAGAACGATCAGCCATACCGGAGCGTGGTTGTACTTTGATTATATGTCAGAATGGTCTGCCATACAGGAGCGTGGTTGTGCTTTGATTATATGTCAGAACGGTCTGCCATACAGGAGCGTGTTTGTGCTTTGATTATATGTCAGAACGGCCTGCTACATTGGAGCCTGGCTGTGCTTTGATTATATGTCAGAACAATCAGCCATACCGGAGCGTGGATGTGCTTTGATTATATGTCAGAAGGGTCTGCCATACAGGAGCGTGGTTGTACTTTGATTATATGTCAGAACGGCCTGCCACATTGGAGCCTGGCTGTGCTTTGATTGTATGTCAGAAGGATCAGCCATACCGGAGCGTGGTTGTACTTTGATTATATGTCAGAACGGTCTGCCATACGGTAGCGTGTTTGTGCTTTGATTACATGTCAGAACGACCAGCCATACTCCTGTATGGCGTTGTTGTGCTTTGATTATATGTCAGAACGGTCTGCCATACCGGACCGTGGTTGTGCTTTGATTATATGTCAGAACGGTCTGCCATACAAGAGCGTGTTTGTGCTTTGATTACATGTCAGAACGGCCTGCCAAACAGGTGCGCGTTTGTGCTTTGATTATATGTTCGAACAATCTGCCACACTGAAGCATGGTTGTGCTTTGATTATATGTCAGAACGGCCTGCCACATTGGAGCCTGGTTGTGCTTTGATTATATGTCAGAACGATCAGCCATACCGGAGCGTGGTTGTGCTTTGATTATATGTCAGAACGGCCTGCCACTTTGAAGCGTGGTTGTGCTTTGATTATATGTCAGAACGGCCTGCCCAAGCCTCAGCTGCTTTAAATGTGAAGCAGATGGAGTCTGCGCAGTGACCTTCTATTTTCCGCTGCCTGACAACAAACATACCTGCTGCCTGCACGCATCACCGCTGAGCTCAGCGCGGATCCAAAAGCTCACACGGTCCCGGTAATCTAAAGTTTGGGTCCAGTTTGTTGGTAAATCGCAGTCGAAGCGCCTTTCTGACCGGTTGTTAGCTCAAAGTTAATCGAGCTAATGAGTGTTTCAGCAGCTAGCAGCGTCGGTCAGTGACAGTCCAGAAGATGTTCTTATTGTTTCCAGGAGGTTCCGCTTTGTTTCTCCTGCAGATGTTCTGAGGTTCTGTCCGGTGTCGGTTCAGACAGAACGTCGGTGAAACTACTTGACGATGAGGAAGACGAACAGAGCATCACTTGGGTTTTATTCTTTGTCATCGGTCCAGTTCAGCTAGCGATGCGGACGCTCCTGGTTCTGATTAGCTGCTGTGGTCCCACTGGGCCCTGCTCCATGTGAATGATGACTGACCACCACCATGGAAAGGTCAACGATCATCTGATGAAGCCATGTGGGGAGGAGGAGGAGGAGGAGGAGAACGAGGAGCCCGGGTCTTCTCCCTCTGACCCCCCCTGCAGCATCACCACACCTGGACCAGGCGGCTCCTCTGGTTTCTCCAAACCACAGAGGAGAAGCAGAACCAAGCTGGACTCTGATGCTGGCTTGAGTCCTGCTGGGAAGAACCTGAACAGTCCAGACTGTGTGCAAAATCTCAAAGGAACCGGGAAGATCCTGCAGGGCAAGTCCGAGACTAATGGCAACTACCTTCAAGGAACCAGAAGCATCCAGGACCAGCAGGGCCAGGATGGACCGAGGAAGAGAAGACCTGTGACAGTGGACACGTCTAAAGCCAAGACCTCCCTGGAGGCCCTGAAGCTGAGCATCAAGCAGCTGAAGTGGAAAGAGGTACGGTACCACAAGGTTTCTGCTGGTCCAACACCAGACCCGGGTCATCTCTGGATCCACCTGCTGTTCTTTAGAAACTATTAATAATCATATGAGTTCATAAACTCTGTGTGTCAGCAAGTGTCAACATTAGACTGTATAAAAGAGAAACAGCTGTGTGAGGTCACAAATTAAATTAAACTTTATAGAAGTTATAATTACATAATAAATTCTATCAGCTAAAATAACTGCTATGTAAAAAAAAAGAGGCTTGATTGCTGGTTTTAATAAGATATTGC